AATGGCCAGTTAATAAGATAATTATCACTGCTTGAACCTTCTTCCTACATGTCACTTCCCTTGGCCTCACCATTTGTAATCTCCACCCGCCTCTGCCCATTCAGTAAGACTTCTTATATCAGATCCACCCCAACTCAGCTAACAAAAGCTGAGATGGTCACACATGTGCTCACCTCTGGATTGCCACAAGACCCGTTTGGTCCTGCAGACATTACGCCCTGCTGAAAACGGAAAAATTCTTAAACCTTGTGATCTAACACACATGAAAGTATATCGCCACCTTGAGGTAAGTTCTCCTAATGGCCGTCACATCAAGACGGAGTAACTGTAACTTTTATGGACATTTTTGCTTCCAGAACTGATTAACTTTTGGAGGAACGTTATTTCCCTCTGGCTTATTAATATATGGATTTTGTATATAATAAATATAATGTAATTGAATGCAGATATTTTATTATTCAAGCTGTTCCTGAGGGTGGCTAACCTAGCTGAATTTAAAACTCTCCCCCTCCCCAAAGAAAGTCGCTTCAGAATTCCTGGTGGCATCACAGACGTCATGTTTTTTTCTGGAGAGCAGTACAGAATTGGCTTGCCACTGACTTGACTTCCTAGTCTAATCTACAGCATTGGAACGTCCTAGTGGTCTCCCATCCAAGGAGTAATTAAGCCTACTTAGCTTCCAAGTCCAAAAGCCAGTCATATGTTGCTGTCATCAAGGCCCTTCGTTCCATGACTGCTGCAAATTACAGCTTGTTCTGATTTCTTATTTTTCTAAGCTTGTCACTTCCCCCATAATTATTATTTCCCTAGGCCAGTGTTCCTTAAACCTTTTTCTTTCAGGCCCCCTTCCCACTTTTAAAAATTATGGAGGACCCCAAATAACTTTTGTTTGTATGGATTATATTTATTGATATTTACCTTATTAAAAATTAAAATAGACACATTCACTGCAGCTAACATTTCTCATGATTGTTTGATGGGATTTTAATATTGTATTACTTTTCAAGCTAGGCTGGCAAATAGTTTTGATTTCATGGATCCCTGAGAGGGTTTTGGGGGACCCCCAGGGGTCCTCAGACCACACTTTGAGAAATACTGCCCTAAGCTTTAGACAGAAGTCCCAAGTCACCTGGACCCACCATCACCTTGAGCTGGAAAAGGTACTAAAAAGGACATTGAAATAATGAAGCAACCATACTAAGAGGAAAGACTACAATTTCTAGGGCTTTTGGGGTTGAAGTGAAAGTAGATATCAAAAATGTGAACCGAGAAAGTTTTTTGCCCCTCTCCCCCAGTATTTTAACTCAGAGTGATTCATCCAAATTTGGGACATTTTCAGCAAATGAAAGGCTTCTGTGAACAAGGTGGCGTTTTGCTGCCATCAGATGTAATTTTAAAAAGGGGCAAGATAAATTAATGAGGTGGTGATCACGTTCTATGACTTGGAAACACAGGCAGCACCGGAAACACCAGCTGTTAGGGAGCAACCGTGGGAAAGGGTTGCTGTCTATTCTTGGGAGAGGCCTGATTGGATCACAGAACGTTCACTAGATGGACCTGGGGACTGACCAGCAGAGCTCTTATGCTCTTACGTTGACAGAACGTCTGCTATCATAAGCAAGGGGAGGTGACAAGTGATGAAATCCATACTGCAGCATCGCCATGCAAACTCCAACTCTTACATACATGCGTGTGATGTGACACAAGTACAATGGCAAGCTTGTACATGATGTCACATGCTTTGTCAGTCTGATGTTGGTGTGGTTAGGAATAGATGCATACATTTGCAGTGCCTAATCCATCTTTGCAGATTTTATACATGGGCTCCCAAGTCCTAACCCTAACTTTTGGACGTTCACACAGAATAATATTTTAACTCTGGTTTTATCTAGGATAGCCAGGCATCCAATGGTTTTAGAGAACAGCTGAATAAACCAAACTGTGCACAAAAACTTTTATTGAACAAGAACCAATTATACTTTGTATTTCTGTCCCTAAATAACAACAGCCCAGCAATTTTTCCCAGTTAGCCTCGAAATAGCTCTAATGTTCTAGCAAAACACAAGGAAGGCATCAGCTTTAACAGTACTGCTGTGTTTTCTTGACAAATAACTAAACAACAAAACACTATTGCACTAAAACCACTAGCATAAATGAACCTCATTTATTTTGATCTCTGAGATACTTATTATAATACCTTTGAAAAGAAAAAGAAAAAGAAATAGCAGCAGTATCTTGGTACAAAGATTTTAGCTTTAATATTTTACTATTGGGGGTACTTGGTTAAAGAGAAATGTTGTTTTGTAGAGATTATTTCTGTGTTAAAAAGTTGTTCAAATTCACTTAAAAGTTAACTTTAAGCAGCACCATTTGCATAGGAGGAAAATATTTTTCAATTGTGTATATACCAGTGTTTCTCAACCTTGGAGACTTTAAGATGTGTGGACTTCAACTCCCAGAATTCCCCAGCCAGCAAGGCTGGCTGGGGAG